AAGACCTAATGACATACAGCTTTTAATTGGCCACAGGCTCATCCTGTGGAAAGGAGCTTGAACCCAATGAACAGTCCTCATCCTGCTCCCGATGGGGACTGGGAAGGACATCAATACCATTTTTCCTCCAGTGAATATTGTGGACCCAGAAGGAAGCACCTTGTTAGCAGGAAGAATAAATTTGTGCAGAAATAATGGATGTAGACTACCTCGCCCTATCTATACACCATTGTCAAAGCAAATCAAAGAGGAACAGGAAGAAGGGAATGGTGAGCATCCATGATGTGATAGGTACAATTCTGCATATTAAAAACAAAATGAAATGAGACTTATAAAGATGTTAGACTGTGATGGTATCTTTTAGAACACACGATGTCTTTTGCAGTGAATCAAACTAAAGGTATAGTAATCTTCTGAGATAAGGATAATAAGTAAAATGTTCATTGTGGTATCATCTCTTAACCACTTGTGTAAGTAATTTACAAATTTATCTCTAGTTTATCAGACCCACATGGTAGCTTTAATAGAAATTAATCAGTGTCTTTAGGAAGAAAATGCTCTCTTTACTGCTTTCAAAGGTGTGTAGATACTATACAAACCTAAGACTGGATAATTCTGCCAGGAAAGAGTTGAATGCTTACTTCTTAATACACTTCTAATGTAGTTCAAAAGTAGAAGTTGGGGGAAAACAATATATTCTTTAAGTATTTATTTCTGAATGAAATAAAACAATAAGAATTTGATGGGGCTAGGGATTTAGCTCAGTGGCACCTTGCCTGCCTCATAAGCACAAGGTCCTGAGTTGCATCCCTCTTACCACACACACAAAGACAAACAATGCATTTTTTTTAAAAAATCAATAGTTAGGGAGCCAGGGATTTAGCTCAGTGGTTCTGCCATTCTCAAGCCCAAGGTCCCAAGTTCAATCCCTGGTACAAAAAAAAAAAAATCACTACTTAGGGCTGGGGTGTAACTAAAGTAGTATAGTAAGCACAGAATGCATACCACAAATGAGGCCCTGGGTTAGACCCTCACTAGCTAGGTACCTGGGTCATTTCTGAGTCTACTTGCAAAAACAGTGCTTTCATCTATTTTGAGATTTCACTGAGGCTTCCAACCTGGCTTCAAGTTTTACATTCGGTCCTTCACAACAATGATGTCTGTGATGGCCACAAAGCTTTTCACATGATTTTGATCCCCACTCGGAGCCCTGTCTCCATTCCTATACTTAAAAATGCGAAAGGCTTTAAGGATAAAAGCTGTTGCAGTAATCTGTTGCTACATGATAAAATACCACAAAGTGGCATATAACAACCTTCCCACTGTGCAGGGCAGGTTTTTTTTTTTTTTTTTTTTTTAGAAAAGCCCTCCCCACCTGTAGATTTCCTGAGCATTTCTGAGTATTTTTATTTCAATCCTGCTAGGGAATGAACCTGGGGGTTTGAGCATGCTAGGCCAGCACTTTACCCTGAGCTTTATCCTCAGCCCTCTTCTGGGTGCATTTTACTCTGACTGTTTTGGGTTCCAATCAGATGATGGCAGGTGGGAATGAGCTGGAGGGGAGGCGGGGTGGGGGGTTGGCCCTTCTTTCCACCTTTATGTAGCCTAACCCTTTCAGTAGCTGATAACTGGACTTTTTACACAGTTTCTCAAGACTCCCAAAAGTACAAGACACAAAGTCCACCAAGCCTTCCTACAAGTTGGTCAAGGAACTGGCATAGCCTCACGTCTGCTATCCGCTTCTGGGTTGATTAAATGTGGGAGGGGATTATACAAGAATGAAAATTCCCAAGCAGGATCCACGGGAGCCAATCACAGAGACTGGCTACCACCACCACGACCACCACAGCTTCATGGAGGAGAAGATCACATCTTCATCTTGGCAGCACGTTATGGGTTTCTTCTACAGTTGAGAGCAGATTCCCCATGCCTTGTGAATCACATAACACAAGAAAGGGGAACTCCATATAGAAACATTTCTTGATATGTCATTTTTTATTTTCAAATATAGAAAATTACCTTTTTGCTTTGATGTTTGAGTGACAGACATCCTTCCCAACAAAGCTCCATCATAGGGACTCTGGAGTCCTGCAATCCTTGGATGATGATAAGGGGTCTCAAACAAAGGGTTCACATCAAAAATACGAAGTGTGTGTGCACTTGTGCACATTCCTGAGGACTCCTCCTTTTCTTCAGGCCATCATCTTAAGGTAGTTTAAATATGCAAAACATTTCCCAATGCTTAGAATTCAGCAAAGTGAGCAGTGCCAAATGACACAAACTTATAATCCTAGCTACTTGAAAGATTAAGGCAAGAGGACCACAGATTCAAAACCAGTCTGGCAACATAGCAAGATTTGGTCGCCAAATAAAAACTAAAAAGGGCTGGGGAAACACAGCAATAGTAGAGTGCTCTTGGGTTCAACCCTCAGTATTTAAATGCCTTGGACTCCTACCTCTAAAATAAACTACCTCAGAAGTAAAGGTTGGGAAAAAGCAATTTATCCTTTACATACTTGTTTCCAAAGTAAGAGTAAAAAACTGAGATAAACATCAAAAATCAGAGCCCAGGATTTAGCTCAGTGGTTCTGCCGCCTGCCTCGCAAGCACAAGGACCCTAGTTCAATCCCCATACCAAAAGAAAAAAAAAAAAAAGGAAATAAAAATCAGAACAATCACTACCTGGTACATGTCATTTCCTACTCCAGTGAGGAAAGAGAGGGAATTGGCTTGATTCCCTTAATCTCTATCCCCTACCCCCAGGAACTATCTTTGATGATGAATGACCTGCCATCCAGATAAATTCATGAGGATTATCTTGACTGTTTTAGCTTTTAATTATTTTGCCACCAGTACCTGGTGAAGAGTTAAGAATATACAGTAACTTGAAAGGCATGTGTGGTGGTGCATCTATGTAATCACTGCACTCTGGAGGCTGAGGCAGGAGGATCATGGTGATTTCCAAGACAGCCTTTGCCACATTGTGCCTCAAACCATTCACTCCAAAAAATGAAGGGAGGGCAGAGGTAAGGGGAAAAACTGAGAATCAAGACTTGTCATGTAGAGGTACAAGATCCCAACAATGAATGTAACTGTACTGTATCCCTAAAATGTACCAATAAACTCAATTAAAGCTGAAAAAAAATAAAATAAAAAAAAACAAGGAAAAAAATGTTATCTTCAGTGGGGGATATTGCCTAGCTTGTGAAGGATTTGATCCCAGCACCATAAAAGATATTTTTTAAAAAAAGGAACCTCAAAGAACTCCATATTCATTCTCCCAAACACTCTTATTTTCTCCTCTCCTCCTTTCCCTATTTATTTTCTCAGTATTGTTAGGAGATAGCAATCAAGGACACAACTGAGTCTCCTTGAATGCCATGTTCTAAAAACGCCTAAAAGGGCTGGGGATTCAGCTCAGAGGTTCTGCCTCCTGCCTCTCAAGCACAAGGTCCCAAATTTGATCTCTGTACCAAAAATAAATAAATAAAATGCCCAGTATCAATAATAAATAATAATAATGATAATATAATGAACTGGGCATATGGCCTTGAACCTGGGAAGGTAAGGCCCCTCTGCTCACGTGGGTAAAAGAACACATGCTGGGAAGGGGAACAACCTCCCTGGGGTTAGAGGAAGAAAAACCAGGGTAACAAGTAGAGCAGTAATTGAAAATTAATTGGATTAGATAATAATACTGGGGTGTGCTTTATAATTTTAAAACTATTAAGTTAGAGCGTCTGTTGCATTTTTCAAAATACTTAACCTTTCACTGAAACAGTTTATAATCTGTCACAATCCTAGCGCTCAGGTATCTCATTTTTCAGAGAACATTTCAGCTCTGATCTCTCACAGGTAAATACTTGAAATGCTCCTCCAGCCCTTCTTTTATCTATAGCACTTACCAGATTGGAGAATTCTATAGTTTCTCACAACCCACAATGACAAATTCTCCCAGTGCCCACAGATATACCCTGGCATAAAGGAAAACAGTGAACAAATGTTAGGAACTTGTATCAAGGTTTGGGGTGTGTTTCAGTGATACAGCAGCTCCCATGAGGCTCTAGGTTGTCACAGATGCCCGCACCTAGGGGAAAAGAATTTGTACTGCCCCACCTTCCTAAGTGTGACACGTGATGGGAAGGGCCTGTTGTCTCCATCACTTATGAAATGGCAAGAACAGCAAAGGAGTTTGTAGGTTTGTTGGGGCTCAAAACACTGCAGAATAGCATTGAGGAAACATCTGGCACAGGAAATACCCAATACAAATCACCGGTTCCCACTTATGTCTCAATCTGTAAAATGTGCGAAAAATGCCACTGCAATTAGCACTGCAGATTGCAGATACTGATCTACTTACAACCCTGTAACTCAAGTGTCTTCCTTGATAAAGGGGTGGCGGTGATGTTTCCAGTCACACTTGTAAGCTCACTACATTTTATTCACCTATAGATTCTCCCCAAAGTTTAGGAACCTCATTGCCAGGAAATGCCATCATCCATATATGTACAGCACAATAAGCTATTGAAATTAGATGCTGAAGTTCACTAGAAGTTACAATGCAACTTTTGATTACTTCCCATGACTCCACTTATTTTTAACTCACCCACACAACATTCAAAGGTGTAAAAATGTGAGCATTAAAGGCAAGTTGTACGGAATAACAATATGAAGATCAGTGGAATTCAAAAAACAAAACATGAAACAAAAAGCCTCTCCAGGCAGGTCTCAAGGATGATTTAACTACAATTAACTAGAAAACCAAAAACTGCTCAGAACATCCTTGTTAATATGATACACCATTTACAGTACTGATGATTACTTTTTGGAGGACAAGATCACTAAAGTATGTAAAGCAATAACAATTACATCAAACTTGGAACAGTCTAATGGTCATTTATAGGGCTTCCCTTTGTAAGCATTTAAATTTTTATTATAAGGACATACTTCTAATAATGACCTTAAAATTGGTTTCTGATAAAACTAGTGTGACATAGGCAAAGCTGGAGTGAAAAAGCAGAATTCCAGATTTTATTTTTTAAAATACTTTAGAAAAACACACCCAGGACACAATTTCTTTTATCAACAAAGTTGCAATAAATTTAAAGAAACGGACAAATTAAAAACTGGCTTAATTTGAAACTGGAAACGGGGTTTTGACAATGCTATGGGGAATAAGTCCCTGAATATATTTTCAACCAAACCTCACATAACTTCCCAACTGTTCAAGTGGTAGACAAAATAAATTACCATAAATTAGGTGCCAAGGCAACTTAAAAACAAAACGAAACAACAGGAGGCTAAGGATTTCCTCAGCTTTTCCAGGAAGTGTGTAACACTGTGCTTCTGGTCTGCGTGCTAGGGCAGATCGGGTGCTGTCAAACGTCTGGGTAGTTGCAGTAATATACCGCAGAGCTGGCATCCGACACCACGGAGGAAATGGCCCCGTGGCTGTCCGGGAGATTCACGCTAGAGTCGTGTCCCTGGTAGGGGAGACCCATCTCGGGTTTGCACACGAAGTGCAAATACTGTTCGAATTCCGTGCGGTCTACCTCCCCGAGGAGCTCTGCGGCGGGCTGCCCGGGGTCCGCGCCGTCGCGGCAGGGCAG